TTCTTTAACCCTACTCACCACATAAGCCTTCGTTTTAATCCTCTTCACTTGAATAACATTAAAATGTTGTGTGCATCACAGAAACACAAGTAGTGGCCATAAAGAGACTACCAGAAGGAACCTTAAAATAACAAAAATAAAAAGCAGCAATGCTAAAGGTATGAAACACATGAGCAGATGAACTCTAAGGGGAGATCAGCTAAATTTAACTTTAGAAAGGTGTTTTATACTCATGGGCAAAGTCCCAGACCTTTATGATGGCACCAGATACAATACAACAGACCTCAGCTGTTTTCACACATAAACTCAAATGCTGGGAGAATTGGTTCATGGCTTTGTTTAAATTTGCCTTTTTCCAATATGTACTAGACAACATGTTATGTGCCACATATTGTAGTACATTCTCACCACATTTGCTCTAGCCAGAATGCTTCTGATGCATTCTCACTACAGGAAATACTCAAATTTGTGCGACAGAGATGCCGCGATATAAATCACTTGATGTAAATTTGAGACAATTATGTGGTTTTTCTAACAAGATCCATCAAACAGACATTGTACTAAGGAGCTGGCGAGTTAAAAGTCTGTTTACTTCAAGATCCCAATATGTTGGACATTTGCACCTGTCAATTTCCAGTGAAGTGGGGGTTTTTTGTTTTGTTTTTTTAAGGTAACTGTGCGCTAAGTATATTCCCGGGATCTTTGTTATATCCTGGGTTTGTAGACGATCATGTGTTGGAAAAAGCTTGTGGGTGAAACTGCTGACAGAAGTGAGTGACAGGTCAGGTGAGTGCTGTGGTCTGTTCAGGCATGCAGATCCAGCTCCTCTGAGTGATCTGAAGTGGCTTCAATTAACTGAAGCAGCCAAGTGTAAGGAAGGGGACTGGGGAGCATGGGCCCCAGACAAGCCTCCTGACAGATTTGGGAGGGGGGGTGGGGATAAGATGAGTGGAGCCTTCTGACAGGTCCTCTAATACCCCACGAATTCCAACCTTTCTCCATCTCCTCTTAGCTAATTACTAAGTATCCATATGGAGACACTTGTCACTGTGATCACAGCAAATTGGCTGTAACTACAGGGTCAGCAAAGACCGTTATTCACTTATATACAAACACAAGAATACACACAGAATCCAACCATCTAATTTTGCAAGAAAACAGAACACACACAATACTTTTCTTCATCTCCAATACTAAAACTATTTTTAGTTTCATGGGAGAGCTGAAGTTACCACCGAGAAATCTAATATCACCGGCACTGCTTCACAACCATCTGAAAAACCACATTCATGTTGATTTTTCATGATGCTCTTTCTGTGCGATAATACAGAAAGGAGGTGATTAAAATATCCCAGCATTTCTCAACAAATCCTACACAGAGATTTAATTTTCATGGGTATACACAGCAACACCGATGTCAAGAGACACTGCCAAATGAAATGTTAAATAAAAGAAAATACTCTGAAATTCACTTCTGAATGTATGAAAGTAAACCACACACCAAACATGTGGGAAGAGAGAGAAAAGGTTTGAACTGTATCTTGGAATTTCTTTTGTATTAATGTCAACACCAACCTTTGCTTTGAGTTTAAACCCAAAGTAAAAAAAATAAATAAACGTCTTATCTTACATGTGACGAAGGAGTGGAGAAGCAGACTGATCTGTACACTAGCAGGGCAAATTAATGTATTTATCATTTACCATTTCGTCATCTCAGCAAATACAAAACAAGTATCTCATAGCCTCTAAATGAAAAGAGACTGCTACTTTACACTATTTTCACCAAGCTTTTTTTCCCTCCCTTCCTTTCTTTCCGTCTTGCTGTTCTTGCTAGTTTTACACTACCTAATTAAGAAGTTTGGTGGGGGATGCATGAAACACACAGGACCACATACTTTACCCTCAAGGATTTATTTTATTGTTCCTCTGTTTTTTTGGTCTCCAATGTTGGCACATCCTCTATACCTCCACCCTTATTTCCCCTTCTAAAAACCCAAGCTTTTCCTTTTTTCACCTTTTCAGTCTTTTATTAGAACTGGGTCCAAATTCTGCTTATAAATGACAGATGAATACTACCTGAAATGTGTTATCGAGCTGCCGTTTATATGATCAAGTGTCTGCTGCTGTCTCTATTCTCTTGCTATTTGGTATTCCTTCACTGGCAGCCTTTAGATCTTCTTTCACCTTCATGCTTTTTGAAGGTTTGTGTTTTCTATCCAAACCATCAAGCTTATTTCTTATGCTGGACCATCCACTTCCTCTTACCCATAATTTGATTCAAAGTTAGCCTTATGAGAATACTGTAGGTGTTAGTTTCTTAAACAGCTAAACAAAATGTAGTTTACTTTAGAAGAAATTACATTTTTTTCAAGCCAAAACCTGTTTGGAGGGGGAAAAAAACCCCACACTTGAAGACAACTGAAGTTGTTCAGAAGTCAAAAAGGCAGCATTTCAAACTTAAATGAATGTGAAATTGCCTGCTTTGAAAAATGAGTACAGAACACGTGAACACAAAGACTCCAGTACTTAAACAGTCGTTGAAAGTTAGCTAAAAACACCTGGTTTAATAGTGCTGTCATCAAAAGAGAGATCAAAAGTGGTCATTTTAATGTTTTATCGTCATAGACTAAAATTGCCTCCAACAAGCCCTCTTCTCCGCTTCTCCTCTCCCCACCCACGGCAGATTTGCAATTTCCCAATATTGGTACAGACCGATGCCCCCCCCTTCCCTCCACCAGATCCACACCTCATTTGGTACTCACCTAGATCAAAGTACCTCGCACATCTGTTCCGCTTGCAACTGCCATAACTAGCCAGCTGGACTCTCTCCGTCAGGTCTTGCTGTCTGTAGGTGTGTCAGTACTGCTCGTCTGTCCAAAGCCAGAGCTTCTTGGCAAGCTGCAAACACAAACAGCGAAAAGAATCAACAAGACTGGAGTTGTGAGAGTGAGCGTGGGCGTGAGCCAGTGCCTTATCATAGTCTTGCAAGAGACTCCTTGTCAAGTTGACTGTTTGTGTGTGCATCTGTTATGTAGGAGACATGAATGCAGAGTATTCCTGAGATAGAGCGAGTGTGTGTGTGTCTGTGTGACAAGATATTACAAAAACACATGTTTTACAGAGACTGTAGTAAGGTTTAAACAGCGAGGCGGAACAAAGCGGGACAGGGGCCCACCTTCCACAATTACACGCAGCTTTAAAATACTAATCCAAGCACAAACTGTATCTGGACTGTATCCAAACAGCAAACCAAAAAGCCACAGGTGTAAACAGAGCAATAAAGCAATGCAATCTCAATCCCACAAATGAAATAGCGCTGCTTATAGCAATAGCATTCAAAGCAGGATCACAGCAAAGCAGGCTTAATGCTTCCCTGATACTTTTTATGCTATATTTACAGTGACCCATAAAAGTGGATAAAAATCTTTGTAGATAAAATTCACCACGTTAATGTGATGCATAAAAGGGCCCACACAGAGCCCGATAGCAAAACAATCATCTGACGGAACAGACCCACGGTGGCTTCAACTCTGCAGTGTCATTAAAATCCTCCCAAGTCTAATTCTCTTTCAAATACCACCTCTACCTAAATAAACATGACCAAGGACGCTTACTCATACTTCACATGCCTGCCAACCACAGATGAACAGGATTTCACAGAGCAGACTGGGTGTGTTTTGCCAACCATTACTGCAGATTGTGACAAAATGTCTCGAGCTAAACAGCCACGGTGATGCACTTTGTTCTCATAATAAAGCCAATCCATAAAGATGTCTGACATTTAACATGCAACTAGAGAAAGCTGTGTGATTTAAGTCAATTTACTTTGACACTTGGATCATAAAGAATAAAACAGGCGTTGAATGACTTCAAACTACGGCAATCCATGGAGTGACAAGTTGCCTCAGAAGTGTAATAAACTGCAACTCTAAGGCTAAACACCGACTTAAATTTGGCTCAGAAATACTGCACCGAGAGTGTTACTTTTTATATTTTGGTGCTTTGTATTCACGACCGGCATTCAAACTGCCTGTGGGCTTTTACCTCAGAGAGAGAAAAGATGATCTGCATGAATGAATGAAATATCTTAAGATCCCTGTGTTTACACATATATACCAAGGAAATGTCAATCAGATGCAAAATACAAAGGTTGAGCCCTGAAAGAAATGTCAAAAAGGTAGTCTGGCTCTGTGATGTGTGAATGGGACCAGCACCATTTGATCAATAGCTCACCTGAAATGAATACAAGATTCGTTCTTACCGCCTCAAAACAGCAGATGTGGACTCCAACTCCATTTGTCACAAACTTGGATGAAACCGTTTCAGCTGATAAAGTGGAGATTGCCTAACATAACACATTTTTAAATATTCGTTATTGGTTGCTTTCCATTTGTGATGTTTATCTGAGGCTCTTCAGAAGTGTTATGCTGAGTTGTTACCACAGGAAATTACATGAAGTATAACCTGAAACAACCCTGTCAGGAGTATGAACAAACATAACGTTATGTGACCTTCGTGTTCTTCCTGTTTTTTTGGTCTTGTATCATTTGCCCTGCTCAAGTCAAGTGATCAGCTCAAACAGGAAGCGATAACAATAGGCAATACAACCAGCCGTGCCACCAAGACATGTCAAGCTGACCCCAGCAATGCTGGGACGCCATGAGACAGCGAGGGCTGTCTCAAAAAAAAAGAAAAAGAAAAGATTGAGGAGGGAGTTGACAGATGAGGAGGTGGAAAACAAAAAATACAAGATGGGAGAATAGAAAGCAAAAAAAAAAAAAGTTGTCGACAAGACACAGAAGAGGGAGAGGCAGGATGAAAGATAGGTCGATGTACCACAGGCTGATGAAATAGAGCGAGAAAGGCAAAGAGAGAAAGGAGCGGAACAGCAAGTCAGACAATAGTCAAACAGAGGAACAAAAAAAAAGACACTAAAGGAATAGGAGACAAATTAAGGAGAGGGCATGGGGGGGGTGGGCAGAGACAGGGGGAGCCCAAATATAAAGACAATGTCAGATTCAATACTTCTCTTAAACGAGACAAGAATTAAGGAGGAAGAAGAAAGAGTGGCTGTTCTCTATCTCGCTGCTCCTGAAACCTGAAAAGACCAATACGTAGAAAGGAACAAAACACCGGGGGGGTTTAGATCAAGCGCTTGACTGCATTCAAAAGAGCCACAGAGGGAGTATAAGTGACACAATTAAGAGCATAACTGTCATTACAGCCAATCAACCCAGTGCCACCCACATGGCCACTAAGCAACAGAACCATCATGAAGAGGGATGAAGGACTGCTTATTCCCCCTAGCAATGCAGCAACGACTGTTAATACTGACTAGCACACATACATAAAAGCCCTAAAGGCCATTGCATCGTAATGCAACAGAAACACAAGGCACGTGTACAAAATCGTTCCATCAAAACATGTTCTTGTCTCATTTGCATCTTGAGAGAAGAGCTGACATTTAAATATAATCCTGCTGACATGCAAACTAAGTGCAGCCAATTCCATAAACCACATGTGCATTAGAAAAGGAAAAAAGAAACGACGTGTGAATCTGAAACCAATCACAGTTTGATGTATACTCTCACTCACTAAAATAAAAACCAAATTTAATGAGCTTTCAAGCTCCCCCACAGTGACATTTCCTCTCCCAATTCTCCATCTTTTACAACCATCATTCACCTTACCTCCATTTCTCTTCTTCCCTGCTACCGCTTGCCTTCCCCCAAACCTCCCTCACTTAGTTTTTCATTTTAAACCCACTACTTTGCCTCCATCTTCTTCGCTCTCCATCCAAAACAACGGCCATTCCAGAAAGAGGGCCATCAATCTTCTTCAATGAGACCAGAGTGCGAGAGAGTGCCAAGGCTACAGCAGATTACTATCTCTGCTTACCTCCACTCAACACTGGATAACATATAGAAGAAGAGAAAGGGCAAATGGAGAGTCAGGGAGGGTCGAGAGTGAGTCGAAGAAACCATCTTAGATAGAAGATGGACATTAGATCTTAAAAGCCTCAAAAAGATTTATAAAAAATAAAATAAAAACCAACTTCCACTCCTGTCACCAGCAGAGGCTTGTCAAGAAAAGACACCCAGCAGCTGAAATTAAAACCTCTAATCCTAAGTGGCAACTTCAAAC